ATTGAGGATTTTTTTAAATATTGCCTTATAAAATTAAGATCTTAAAACTTGTATAATATTAAAATTTGGATTATTAGCTATGCTTTTATGCCAAGTTTATTCATATGCCATGATAACAAAAAATAAAATTTTAAATGTAACTCATATTCTGTGACATACGCAGAAAAAGATGCCTGTAGTGAAAGCATTAAACTAAAAATATTAAAAAATAATATCTTTAAACTTTTAAGTGACAAAAAAGCCAAAGGACAAAAAATTAAAAAGAGAATATTAGCTGGTCTAGAATTAACAATTTATATACATTAAATTTTCAGAAAAATATGTAAAATAAGTATGTGAAAGTAAAATACTGGACCGAACTGAAAGACTTTTTGATGATTTCAAACTTACCTTTAACCATCAACATACTTTAAAAATACTTAACTGTCCTAGAGATATATTTTTAAGTTAATAAGTAATGTGTTTCGAAAAATATAATACAATCATTTTACTTGCTCAAAATGAGAGAAAAATAATGTTTCACAAATACTACATACCTTCTGATATGACAAGAAACCAAAAGAATTCCATCTGGTATTTCCTTCATTATCAACTATATTGGAATAAACACAATAAAAAAAAAATCATGTATTTGTTCAAAATTTTAAACATTTATATTTATGTGATTTATCTTAAAAAAATCTCTCAGTTTTTTTACTGTAAAGCTACACAGTGGGCTATCTGTGTTTTGTTTACCATTGGGAATTAACTCCCAAGTCTTAACTCCCAATATGTAAATCCATAAACTTACTGTTTATCCACCAAAAGATAAAAAAATCTCATAACTTTTTGCTGTCCAGTACCTGTTGTGGAAATGTGTGCCACAAAACTCTCAGGTGTATCATCAACCATCTAAAAATATGATAAGCTAAAATACTCAAAGATCTTGCAGACATGAAGGCTGAATTAGATTTGCTTGAAATTCTCAAATCATGAATTTTGGAACTACTTTTGAGAAATATTCCAGGAAAACCAAGTGTAGATAAACATGGTTTGTTGCACATGAAATAGTAATGTTTAATTTTCTTTTTAAAGCATTTGAAGATGTGAGAAACAGTTCAAAAGTTAAAGTCTGGGCAGCAGTTACTCATAACAGTGTCCATTCTTTTTTGTAGAGGCAACTGTTATTCCCCAATAGTCAATAAACTCTGCTATTAATAACCTACTCTATTTCTTATGGAAAATGTAGTTTATTTTCTTTATAGAAAAAAAAATCCTGCTAGATTTCACCTTTCCAAAACTAGTCATGAATACATCTTTATTCATGTAAAAGCTTTAGTGCAGGTGTTCTGGACTTAGTAAAATGGTATCTTCCAAATAATGTTACAGATGATAAACTTCTGATAATCCTTTATCTTAGACAAAGTTATGTACTACAGCATTCGCTATGTACCCTGTTTTTTGTATCATCAATCTTCTGGTTCTACTCAGTTTGAGAGATGTCAGGAAGTTTGTATAAGTTGTATGAGATGACGGTTTGTCTATGATTATCAGATATTACGAACCTTCATTCTGACCTAAAAGTATTATATGCCATTATCCTCCTATAATTTAGTGATCTACTACAACAGTGAGATAATATATAACTAAAAACAAGCTTCATCAATATTTATTTTTGAGAGTGTAATAACTAAAGATTTTTTTTATTTGTATGCTCATCTTTAAGTTTCATTCCATTGCTATACAAGTACTTGCATCTCACGCACTTGTTACCATAAAGTTCCTTATAAATTATCAGAAAAAGAACTAAAATAATAATACTGATATTTTTGTGAAATGTTTGATGTTAATTACATAAAATATCCCAAAACCATCTGTTTAATTTTAAACCATATTACACGGTAGTTACTATCCTAAACATGCAACACTATATTACACGGTAGTTACTATCCTAAACATGCAACACTAAATTACACGGTAGTTACTATCCTAAACATGCAACACTAAACATTACTACTATCCTAAACATGCAACACTATATTACACGGTAGTTACTATCCTAAACATGCAACACCAAACATTACACAAGTTACTATTCATGTTTTAGATTCACAAAACTTTTGTCAAAAATTCTGATCACTAATATTTTTCAAGTATACATAAAATATCAGGACTGTAAATCAGAAAGTGAGGTATTATAAATACTAAAATATGACTCATATTATAGTATTACAAACTTCTTTATCAAACTAATTATATAATAATATTTAGAAGATGGGCCTTCTATTTGTAAAGTTGTTTCTGTTAAAATTTTATATCATGAAAACTTCAACATTAAAATAACCATTACCTACCACTTGTTTGGATTTACAATATAAAATATATAAAATATAGAGCCAAAAGTAAGAACAACATATCTATTAGTTTATATCATTATGCGTATGTAATTTTGTTTATATGTTTTTATTTAATGAAAAAAGAAAACAATGTTAAAATAGGCTTTAGGCCTAAGTATTTCCACGCAAGTTCACTTTAAAAATTAAATACAGAGAAAAATATTACTACTTTTGTTGTATAAGGGTATGTTTGATCTATGTGTGGAAAAAGGCCTCCACTACTTATCACAGTTTTATATTTACACATAAAACAATCCTTTTATAGTATATAAAGAAAGCACAGTTCATTGAAGAATGCACTTCTTATCGGCTCTACAATCGTCACAATCTTTTAATGAGAACAAATGAAAGCAGTATTATATATAATAAAATCACCATAGCAGACTGCATATCAAAATGTAAAGATATTTAGTAGAATGACAAGTTTTGCCTTGTGGCTTTCTCATTCAAAAATACATCCTATAGTTCCGCTTCCTTATGTTTTAAGTGCCCATGGTTACACATATGAGAAGTTGTATTCAAGCCAATGTAATGGATTACTGATAGAGAACTGACAATAGGGCAATAATAACCAATTCTGGAAAGTTGGTTAAATATAGTAACAATATGTTAACATTAACTTCCGATCAAAGCAAGTTACCAACAAAAATCAGACAACAATATATCCAATAATGACCATAGCTACTTAAATATATTGTTCATACTATCTTTTTTATAATAATTATAATGCATTTTTTCACATGTTCAATATCCTTTCCACTAACGATATTTTCAGCCATAAACTGTAGTGTAAAGAAATAGCTACCTTAGCTAACAAAACTGTTTGTTTCATGTCATCTTGATATCCTTTAAAAAATTCTAAACAAACACTGTCTTGACCTTCTGGTAAATGGAAGCTGTCTTGCCACCTGGTGGGAACAGGAGTGCCCGAAAGAATAATAGGGACTAATAAATCTTCACCATCACTTCCAAGAGACTAGAGGAAAATATGATTAGCTAGTTAATACATTTAAAATGTAATAAATGAATTTCAAAATGAATGGTGTAATCAGATTATCTGTATTCTATACTTTAATTACAGACTCCTGTATACATTACAAAAAAAAACTTAACGGAAAATTTCAAATAACATATTTAAAACTGACCAGTAAATGTTCTTTGTAACATATAAAGGAGGTATATACATATAAAAGATACTGAATATAGATAAGCAGATTTCAGTTTTAGTACTGTTTCCTGTTACAGATACAAAAGTATACAAAACTTAAGTAAGCCTAAAAACAAAAGATGAAATACTCTATTAAACAAGTTATGAAATGAAATTATAAATATTTGCTTGGAGGAGAACAAATAATTAATTACATTGAGAAATTAGAGGATAATAAAAAGGAGACGACTTTCACTGACAATTGAAAGTTTAAATAAATTTAAAAATATCCTTAAGTATAAGACAATACACAGATTTTTTACAATATATTTTACTTAAAGTCAACAAGTTCAAAAACTAAAATACAGAAGTGGTTTACGTAACAAAATAATTTACAAAAACCATAAGTTTACATCACAACCCCCAATAGTCATGTCATATGGAGTGGGGGGTATTCCACACGCTGCCATTTAAAAGTCATTACGTAAGAAGTAATTGATTCATAAAGTAAACTGTAAAAAACCAAAAAATTGCGATCTTTTGTTACATTTCTCAAAATTTTTTTAGAAAATGGCTTTAGTGCTTATTTGTTTTAAAACCATTCTATTCGATAAAGTTATCGAGTACTCAATCGAGTGTTTGGAATTTGCAAATTTCATCAAAATAATGTTTAAAAAAGATATAATTTGCACTTTGTGTGTTGGGAAATTTATTTTTAAATGGTAATATTTCATATTCAGTTTTTAATTTCTAAGTCATGTATCTATAATTATGAATGGTAAAAAGAAAATTCGGAAAAAATACTGATACTGTCATAAAGATTACTAACACACACATAATACATACACACACATGCACTAGCAGAGACCTGCAAAACATTTGCTCTAAAATTAGTATCTTTATTGTAACATTACTTCTTTAAATACAGTATTTCTAGAATAATACAAAGAAATTCTAATCACAGAAATCAAAATCTACAATTCGACTTGTCTTAGGCCTAACATTAGTTAAGCCTTTACTTAGTACAGCCTATAATCGATAGAGAGATAAATTTGCTTTAGTTTAGTTAGGGCTAAACTTTACCATACATAATACAATCAATAAATAAACTTATTATTCTACGACATTAGACCATTTTAAAAACTTTGGTATGTTTTTAATATGTTGTTGTACAAAACATCTACTAAATTATATTTCATCTGCATTTTGTTTACATCCACTGAAATGAACTGCACACACATCCATTAAGATAGTAAGGTGTGCACACACTTTCAGGACAGATAAAAACTGAGTATTATTATAATAGATATATTAAAACAGCCTAAATAGTACATTATTAATTTTTTTATTAATAATAAATTTAAGATTAAAAAAATTCTTAAATTAGCAAGAAGAAAATATACTGATTCTGTACTACATGGAAAGGCTTTTTATATTTATATTTCAGAGCAAGTCTTAACTCAAACACACCAACCTTTATATAGAGTGTATTCTGCACAGCTAGAATATGACTACTAAGTTCAGGACTTTCCTTGATGTCTTTTCCTAACAGAAGAGCAGCCTAAAACAATTTAACACGACAAGCATAAGTTGGTGTCTACTTTTAACTTAATATTCTAGAGTCACTGTTCATACGTAAAAAATACAACAAAACAAAACATAAAAAATTTGGAGATGGCTTGAATGGGTAATGAAGAAAAACTTTAATATAAGTTTAACATAACAGCAAATGTACCTGATGGTGACAAAACCTTGTCGAAACGTTGTACATTCAACCTATTCAAGCCGTCTCCAAGCATTATTAGTCTCAAAGTGGGTTCCTCGTCATCGATTATAAAAAATTGATCTCAATCACTAAAAGATTGTTTTACAAAACACAAATATCATGTTAACTTCTGTTTTATCTATGGGGTTTTGAGACCATTTTGCTTCACCATATAGTAACCGAAATTAAGTTACGTACGTGAATAATGTTATGACATTTCATCAAGTTCATTATTCGATGTTATACAACAGGCCAACTGTTTAATGATTGTGTGAATATGTTAAAAACTCCTGTTTTGTCCTGCATTAACAAAAGACCCTTTATTTATTTTTTTAACTGTTCAATAATCCAATCTTGTAAACCCTAGAAGCACATGAATTATACATTATATCACAAGAAATATTAATGAATGATCAAGGTTTTCACCACATATTGTTTGAACGAATCCTGTTATAGTTTTTCTGTTTCTTCTTTTGATGCATGTGATTCACCACATTTACTATGTGGTTCATAAATGTATCTTAACTAGGTAATATAAATTTATCTTAGAAGATTTTCTTGTCATACACCGCTAATGTATTAAGATTTTTTTTTAAATACAAAGTTATTTCGGTTTCCTCTTTAAATTTTTTTTCCCACATTGATCTTACCCTCACCAGATTGAAATAAGTTAATAAATATTGTAAATTTGTTTGTTTGTAATTAAGCACAAAGCTAAACAATGGGCTATCTGTGCTCTGCCCACCACAGTTATCGAAAGTCGAATTCTAGCGTTGTAAGTCCGCAGACACACCGCTGTGCCACTGGGGGGGCAATTGTTGTAAGAATGGTTGAAAACATTCACCAATGTTGAAATTTAAAGGAATGGGGGAGTGATACGAGAGCAGCAACTAAAAACAACAGAAGACTAATGGTGAAGAATTAAATTTATATCCTAACCACGATCATTGTGAAAAATATAAGCTGCTGGTGGATGAAAACGTTCTGCTTATTGACCTTGAATACACCTACAAAATATTATCATTTTACATGGTCATGTTAATGACCGGAACATAAAAGGTTTGGCTTAAATATTTACAGACCTGATAAGTCCAAAACCAAGCAGTTTTGATCAGGTTGAGATAAAGGTCAATAGTTAATTTTCCACACTTTAAACAACAGCCTCAAAAGTTGATTTTAAACCAACACCTTAAAACTCTTTTTTAAACTTTTGTGTCACAAGGTGGTGATGTATTGTTAAGCTTTAAACATACTAGCAGAGAATTCAGTATATCACTTAAGTGATGAAAAACAATATTACGTGATTGAAAAATTGTGAAATTAAACTCAAGTTATATTAAAATGACCAAATTTTTAAGTAAAAGACAATTTATGGTTACACAAATTTCAAATCCTTTGGTGTTAACTAACACCAAGTAATTCAGGATGATGAGAAACCCACTTGAAGTAAATATATTTCTAGTAGAAATGGCTGATATGGTACTAAAAACTTTTACTCAAAAATGCAAAACAAATAACAATATTTTGACCTCCTTAGGTCATCATCAGGTTATGATGACCTGAGGAGGTTAATTCAAAATACAAGTATTTATTAAATACCTCAACAGCTGCTCCTACTGCAATAACTTCATCAGGTGAAATAGTATTTAATACTTCAGCATCCGGGAATGCATCTGAAACTAACTGCTGAATTCTTGGCACCTTTGCCGAACCTCCACAAAGGATTACCTAGAGAAATCCAAATATCTTGATGCAAACAAACAAATACACAAACACAGTTTTACAATTTTTTTATTAACACAGAGACTTAACTAGTTTTCATGCTACAATATAATATAATTACTCATTCTACTAGAGTTGAAAGCATACACTGCCTAGCACAACTCATTCGTACTGAAAATAATGCTTCACAGGTCAGTAACCACAATTAACTTCATCATCAATTTTTAACATCGAGATCAAATTTATTACTCTCCTTCAAATGTTTTGTTTGTTTGTTATGAATTTCACGCAAAGCTACACAAGGGCTATCTGAGCTAGCCATCCCTAATTTAGCAGTGTAAGTCTAGAGGGAAGGTAGCTAGTCATCACCACCCACCGCCAACTCTTGGGCTACTCTTTTAACAACGAATAGTGGGATTGACCGTCACGTTATAATGCCCCCGTGACTGAAAGGACAAGCATGTTTGGTGTGATGGGGATTCGAACCCGCGACCTGCAGATTGCGAGTCGAGCACCCGAGCCACCTGGCCATGACGGGCTTTCCTTCAAATGTGAACTCAGTAATCCTCACTATTCCGATTATTCAAAATGTGATATTCCACAATCATTACCTTGCTTTTATTAGAATTAAAAGTCATCTGCTATTTATTAGCCCAACTTGCCAAATAATTCCAATCCTTTTGTAAAGCAGCAGCATCCTCCTTGCAGCCAGCAACATCCAAAACTTTAATATCATCAGAAAATTTAAATATCTTATTGACCATTCCTCCAACTATGTCATTGATGTAAAACAAAAGAGCAAATGTCCTAACAATGAGCTATGGAGTGACATTAATCCAGAGATAACTTTTTAACAAGCCTTTTATGTGGCACATTGTCAAATGTTTTCTGGAAATACAGATACACAAAATCCACACCTGCACCCTCATCTGCATAACCTCTTCAAAGAATTTGATGACGAGGAACCCACATTGAGACTAATAATAGTTGGGGACGGCTTGAATGGGTAATGAAGAAAAACTTTAATATAAGTTTAACATAACAGCAAATGTACAACGTTTCGACAAGGTTTTGTCATCATCAGGTACAAGTAATTTACACTGACACGGATATATATACAGTATTGAACAAAGAAGTCACATGACCGGAACTGTTGTGAAACTAAGAAGAGGTATCTGGGCACCCCGGGGTGTTGGTTTAGAGTAGGGTTGTTTTGTTCAATTAAGATGGATTCCTTGATTTTTCGTTTGTTTATGTTGGATTCTTTGTTTAAAATGACTGTGTTAGAATGTGTTCAAAGAATGTTAGACAGTTAGGCAAGATTTTTCCCTAGTGAAATGATGTTGACTATCCAACAAAATTTTAAACTTTGTTAAATGACTCTGCAAAGCATCTTTCATCAGACTTTCAAAAACTTTTCCCACCACTGATGTTAGACTAATAGGGCAGTATTTACTAGGATAACTTTCATCTCTTAAAGAGAAGAGTAAAATTGGACACCTTACAACCTTCTGGTAACTGTAGCAATAGTAGTAAGTGGCTCACATATCAAATCCGTGACGTCTTTCAAAATTATTCGATAAATATTATTTGGCCCAGGAATTTATCATTCTTTAAGCTTCCCAATGTTTTCTTAACTCTTTACATATGGGGATGATGGATTACACTGACCTTGTAACCATAAGTAATCATGAAAGTATTCTTACTATAATTTTTAATATGACATGTGTATCTTCACAAAATTTGGTGAGTTTTTGTAAACATTACAAGTCTTTTCTACAAAAAATAAATAAATAAATAAACTTTTTAAATTAATTACTTTTATTAAAGATTTCTCTGTGAATAGAAGGAGTCAGTGTGTTGACTGTTTCAAATGCAAAATAATTTTCTTGTTTAGATTAAAAATACTCTTCTTCATTTGTGTGATTTCAAAAAAAAACCTCCTATAAAAAAAAGATTTTTTTTCAGCAAAATTTATATTTTATCTGTTATTTTCTCTACCATAATTCTAGATGGACACAGTCAAATTGACCAATGTTATAATCACTGTATAAAATATAAAATAAATCTAAATTACTTTTTTTTTCTTTTTCTAGAATGACAACATAGTAACAGGAAATTACAACTGGTTGTCCTAAATAGCTTAAGGCTCTTAACAGATCAGATCTGTTTCCAATTAATTTTATTGTTTTATTGCCTCTTTGAATTGTGTCTAACTAATAATCCTGCCATACAAGTTCTAAGTCACTTGGTGAATGTACAGTGCAAGCTACAGTACTGAACAACAAATAAACGCACGAGTTACTTGCAAGCATAGCTCGTGAATAATAATTATTATTATTTTTTAATTATTTTACCTTCTAATTTTTACATATAAATTACTTTTACATCAATAAATAAAAAATATACCTCAAAAGCAAGAAATATAGTACTTAAGTTCGACGTCTCTTTGTTTTTTGCTGTTGGTTGCCCATGAAATTTAAGCCTACTCTTATTTCAGTAATTATAGCACTAGTACATTAAGTAATTATTTGCTTAAAGAATACACTTAAGAATACAGAATAATAACATGCACAAAGCAAACAATACTATATAACTATTATAATTCAACTAGCTTTCAAACTGAGGCATTAGATTATTCCCTTAACTACTCAATCTGAACACCTTGAGAGAAACTTTCAAACTGAAGACAAAACAGACAATACTTTATACTGTAAACAATGTAGCATTATATGTCAATTGAAAACAAAACAGACAATACTTTGTACTGTAAACAATGTAGCATTATATGTCAATTGAAAACAAAA